GGCTCTGGTTCCCGGGCAGTGCTTTATGGCCTCGCTGCTATGCTGTGCCCCATTCCAGGCTCCACTTATTAGCTCATGTGGCAGCAGCTTTGCCACACACAGCCTGACCACCTTTGCTGCGAAGTGCAGGTAAGTCAGACAGGGCCCTGCCACATGTACATTTTTAAGATGTTGGACTGAATTTAAGTTAAGATTTCTAGTACCAGAAATACAGCAGAGAAGTGATGCCTAAAGATTGGTATCTGTCCTTGATATGTGAGAGACCATGCTCAGTGAGGTTGCTAGAAAAAGGTTTCCTTCTTATTAGTCTAAGAGGGCTCAGGCTCGATGCTTATCAGTGGGAAGTTGGTACAGTTAATGCCATGTCTTTAGGTTAGAGACATTTGTTTCCACGATGTTTGGCATTGCAGTCCCTTTAATCCTGCATCCATAACCTATTTGCCTATGAAAGGCCAAGTTTGCAGAATGAGGCTTTTGTGTTTGTGTCAACCTCTAATACAGGGGCAGGCAAAATTCGGCCTATGGGCTGGATCTGGCCTGCCAGGCAATTCCATCCAGCTCATGGGGCCCCTCTGTGAGCCTTCTGTATGCCCTGTCCCTGGGCTGCCCCTCTACAAGCTGGTGGCTCCATGCAGGAGGTGCAGCTCTGGTTGCTAAGCAACCACCCTGCCTACCCCAGCTTGGCCTGACCTGCCCCAGCCCTGAGCTAGGGGTGCTAGAGACGAGAAGCCTCTGCCTGGCAGAGCTTGTGCCTGGCCACCCTGAGGTGGTTTCCATCCTCCCTGCCTGTGAGCCTGGAAATGCAGGTAAGGGCCCAACTGGGCTAGGGCCAGGGACTCCCACTGGAGGAAGGAGGTTGGGAGTGTGGGTACCATGCACTATGGGGTCTGGCTGGCACGGTCCTGCACATTGCAGGAGTGCAGGAACTGCATGCTATGGGTCCGGGTGGGGCTGGCCTTGCATGCTGCTACCACGTACAGCTGGAGACTAGGGTGGGAGTGTGGGATCTCTGTGCTATTGGGCCAGATGGGGCTGGTCCTACATGCTGTCGCCATCTGGGGCTGGTGCCTGGGTTGGGAGTGTGGGTAGCTGCACTCTGGGTGGGGCTGGCCCCACTTGATACCACCACATGGAGCTTCAGGGACTCGCACACTCCAGGGACTGCAGTATTCCCCCCCTCCCACTCCCACCCCCACCATATCCCCAAATACACCCATACCCTCCTAGAGCTCCCACTCGCCCACACCCACACACACCCCCACATCTTCCCACATATCCCTACCCCAACTACGTGCCCCACACCCACACCCCCCCACATCCTACCACACAGAATATACAAGCGTCAGACTGTGTTTTGAGCTATTATGCAATCACCTCTAGATACACTATGCAAATGCACATAAATCAGGACAAATTAACAATAAATTAAAATAAGTTATAGTAAATGTTTTGATTTTTGTTAATATAACATTTGTTTTTTTTCCAGTTTTAAGATGGCAACCCCCCAAAGGAGTACTTCTGAGGGTAGGTGAGGGACTTCCAGTGGCAAAGGTCAGGGGTTAGGGGTGGGACTTCTGGTCCCAAGATGGGGGTCAGGGGGTGGGGTACCTTTGCAGCCATTGGCAACATGTAGAGGGTGTACGTGGGTCCATGTGTGCCCCCTGAACATGGTGGTGCACCCCCTGCAAAAAGGCACCGCTGACACTGCTGGTGGCACCTGTGAGTGGTTGCTGCTTGCTACCCACCCCTGCTTGCCGCCGACACCACCGGAGGTGTCAGGAGGCAGTCCGTGGTCGCTCCTGGCCACCACTGATGCTGCCGATGCTGTCTGTGGGCGATTGCCACCCCCCTCCCCTCACTGCCAACAGCGATGCAGCCACCTGTGGGAGCTCCCTGCTTGCCCCCAACATGCTCACGCCACCAACAGCGCTGCCGCCGTCTGCGGGAGCTTGCCGTGCCCCCCCTGCCCTGGGGGCATGTAGCGTTCATGCTTGCAGCCCTTGACAGCTCACCAAAACTCGTTAAGTGACCCTCCAGCTGAAATACGTGCCCACCCCGCTCTAATACACCTGCAAGGGGGTCGCCATAACTTCACGCTTTACATTAGGGCTGCTGCTCAACACCATTCTCTCCAGTGATAGTCAGATGTCAGTCAAAACCATGGTCTAGTTTGACATTGAGATGTCCTTAGTCAGACTCCACAAAAAGGAGCCATTTGCCAGCTTTTACTGCTCAGCAGGGCATACATTCATTATGTTTCAGAGAACTCTCTGTTGTTGAGAGTGCAGCACCTCCATCAAGTGAGATAATGTGTTAATATGGTATTGATTTTCTAAATTTCTCATTTGCTGCTACTAGACTGGGGCAGTCTGCATTGCATAGCTATTTCCAGTGGAAGGTTTCTGTCCACCTCATATACAGTTTATAGGCCAAAAAGGACCTAGGAGCAAAAGACTTGAAAATCCACCTTCCCTTCCCCACTAATTTATTTCTGAGTTTCACACCTTCCCTTCCCCACTAATTTATTTCTGAGTTTCACACTGTATTTGCCAGGAGCTCATGGCCATTTGTTAGGGCAGCATACAGTGGGAGTGGCAGCGAACCTAGAGGGCCCATTCAAAACAAATCTTATCTGTTTTGTTTGCCTTTCAGCATGTTTGCCTTGCAGCTAGCCAAACACAAGGTCATTTTAATATTTTTAAGAAGTGCTCTCCATAATAGAGAGGATATAGGGATAAAATGGTAAAAATGGATTTTAAAAAGAGGATCAGCTTTTGATTCCATTTCACTGAAGTTTTTTATGCTTCACCCTTCTTAATGTGATCTTCCGAGTAGTAGGCTTTGCTTCTTAGTTGTGCAAGATAGAGTTCAGTATTAGTTAGTATTTATAAGCATTTTAGTTCTCTTGCCAGAGAACGTTAGAAAAGCAGTTTTCAATCGCTTCCCTTTTTTCTTTGCTGTTTAAAAAAGCTGCTTACTTTCATCATTCAGCTTATCCTTTGCTTTCAAGCTTTTTGATGATGACTACATGTTCACCAAGATTAGGTTGGGTGGAAATTAGTGGTGCAAAGATTTTGGAGTAAAACAAGTAGAATATTTAAAGGCATATTTGCTTACAGATCATCCCCATTATAAATAATGGAGTGTGTTGAAGGGCAGCAAAAAGCATTGCTCTTTATGTAAGATCTAAAGTGGAGGATCAAATAACTTTAAATATTGTCTACCAGACAGGCTCTCTATACTTGTTATACATAACTTTATTTTGTTTAATCCTGATATTTTCACTCAACAGCCCAATTGGAAAAAAGGAGAAAGCTGATATGCCTGCTGTCAGCCTTTTGCAGGCTGAGAATGGCTTCATTATCACAATCTTTTTTCTAACTTTAGCTTCAGTGCATTCATCTTTGTTCCATGACATAATCAGTTTGTATTACTCAGTCATTGTTATCCTCATTTGGTAGACAAGGGAATTGTCATGGGGAGATGTTAAGTAGGCCTATGCATTCACAGACTCCAGGCACTGATAGTAAATTTGCAGGCACAAGATTTCCTGTGCCTGAGAAATGTCCAGAGTCACTTCCCAAGGCCATATCAAGTCAGGGCAGAGCTGGGATTTCAACTTCAGTTATTACTAGCTTTCAAACTTGTGTAATGTGTAGATAATGTGTTAATATTTGTAAACAGCTCTAAAGATCAAAAGCTCTGAATAAGCACTGTTAATAGTAATGTGTTCTCTTGAGACCTAAAATATACGAATGGCATTGAGGACTGAGCATTGTCTTTGATGAGGATAAATCTGAGAACTCAGTGGGGAACTTTTGAAAGTCAATGACAGAACTCTTTGTCTGACTTTACCGGGGCCAAGGTTTCACTCCAGGAATTCTGGGGGGTTTTTTAGGTGACGCACTAAAATGCAATTCCACCTTTGGCCAAACATGTAATTTAGCTGCTGTTAAAATGAAAATTTCAGAGCATGTGAAAGCTGGCCTGCTAGAATTTTTTTTAACTCCTGAACAGGCGTAGATTGCTTCTTTGTCCTTCAGCCAGACTTTTATAGCTAAGAGAGGTTCATGGAAAAGTAACGTGCACAGTAAGCCATTAGCAAAGCATGACGTTGAATGATTACTTATATATACTACAGTTTCTTTACTAGGTTATGTTACAGAATCTTAGTGGGGGCCAGCTGGTATAGTCTAAATATCAGCTGAGTATTAGATTGGGGTCTTTTGGGCAATGACGGTCTTTGTGTTATATAGTGTCTAGTACAATGCAGCCTAGGCCTCTCAATGGTCCGGCAAAAGAAATAATAAATAGTAATGTTTTTACTAGAAAATAAGCACCACACTGTTTTTACTAGAAAATAAGCACCACACTGCCAAAAATAACCCCTCTTTGTCCCTGTATCCCCATGCATTTCAGTTCTTTTTCAAGAAAGCGAGAAATGTTAGAATTGGTCAGGAAGTAGTTGTGCGTTTTTTTGGGTGAAAGAAATCAGTAAAAATTTTAGCTTAGGGGAGCTTTTCAAAACAAAATGCTTATCAAGGCATTTTGTGTGGTTATTTTTGTTTGCCTTTTGGGTTTCTTTTTGTTCATTTGCTTGTTTTAAGCAATTGAAAGCTGGAAAAAATGTAGGCACAATGAAATAAGGCTGCAGGGCAAAGAAGCAGGTAGGTTGGTGGAGGGATACTGAAAATTTTCACCCAACCAACCAAAATGTTCCAGTGTTGTGTGACTGGGAAAAGGAGAAGGAGGGTGGTAGTGAAGGGAAGGGTGTGGGGGAGAGGGCACAGTGGAAACTGAAATGTGGGGTTTTTTTGTTATTTGATGGAAATCTGAAACATCTCATTTGACATGAACATCTCTTGTGGAGGCTTTCCTTTTGGTAAATCTACCATTTAACTTTTTTGGAAATGGGGGGAGGGGAGGAAGACATAAGGGATGGAAATTGTCATGGAAATATTCAACCAATTTCAGCAAGCATTATTCTCTCCATTTTACAGATCATAAAACTGAGGCAGAGACAGGGCTTATGTGCCTGCATTCACAAAGTAATTCATGAAGTAATCAGAGTTAAGATCCGAAAAAGAACTTCAAACTTGCAACTCAGACCTGTAACTCCCAGTCCAGTAAATCACTATGGCTTCTGCTATTTCAGAGCTACTCTTTGTTTGAAGGAATGAAAACATGCCCATGATGTTTAACTACTGAAGTATGCATTATTTAGTATTTAGTAACAAAAATTTGGCAATTGGCATGCCTAAGGGTGGTGAAAGATTCAAATGAGTTTTGAAATTCCAGACTCTCTTATTCCATAGCAATACATTCCATTGGCACCTACAGCTTTTCCCACGAAAAGATGATGAGAAAGAGAATGAATCACATACGAAGATTTTAGCCACGACTCTTGCTGCACCATTAGAACATGCCAGCATTATAAAAGTAACTGCAAAGAATACTAACTTTGCAACATTTTTCCCTGTTAAGAAAAGCTTCACGTTGTATACTCATCTCCTTAGAAGCAGAAGAGGAACCGTCATGAATATATTCTTGTGTTTACACACGTAAATCATGTGTAAAATAATCTACTTATCAGAAAAATATTCATTAGAGAATAATATTAAAGATGGCTTGATAACTTCATGGGAGGGGGGGAATGACATTTGTCAGGATTTCTCTCTGCAAAGCACCCTGGCAGTCTTTTGACCTGTATTTTTTCCTTTTCTACAAGTGTCTGTGATTAAAAAAAAAAAATGTTTTTGCCTTTGCTTTCTTACTTCCAACCTCCTTGCAGTTTGTTTTCATTGGTGGACCTAATTAAAACGTACCATTTGAGAGATTTTTCTTACTAACCTTAAGTCTTGTTAAGTGTCTACTTCATCTTGGGTCTTGAGTTCACACATTGGTCAGAAGTCACAATATTTCTGGAGGGCAAAAAATATATAATGGAGACTATGCAAAGGAAAACAGAACAAAGCAAAACAAAAAAACCCCAACGATTACACTTTCTAAATACAATACCGTACAGTATTGTATGTCTCAAAAATGGAAATGCACAGAAAATGTTCTGTGTATAGGTAATCATGAACAAAATGTAGTGCAAGTGTCAGTTAATGTACAAAAGTATGAAACTTTAGTGTTTTTCAACTTAGCATCTAGTATCTTTCTCTGCCTAAAAAGAGAGGAAATAAGGGGGCTTTTGTCAAGAGCAGACATTTTTTTTCCTTGAAAATGTGAAGTGTTTTTCTCTGTATTAGAGAAACCATTTTGACAATCCAAGCCTCTGCTATTCTTCTCACCAAGGATGAATCAAGAGATTCAAGAACTAGGAGTAGTGGTTTCCTTGGAATAAATGTTGTATTGGTTCACCTGAAGGAGAAAAAAAAAAGATTTCCTCCCTGCAATTGTCTTTTGCTCCCTAAGACACTGTGTATTTCTGCCTTGGTATTTGTATAGATACAGCCAAAAAGAAAGCAGTTGAGATACTCTAATTGCATTGATTTAAAAATATTCTTCTCTTAGGGATGTACATTTCATTGGACGCAACCGTTATTTCCATGAATGAATGCTGTGCAGACACATGAGCTGTTTATATGCTGTGCACTCTCATAGTAGAAAGCTGAGGGAACCAAAGATCATCTAAAATTAGGAGCTAAGTATTGGGAGAATGGTCAGTGTTCATCAGATAAGCCTTGGGTGTATAGAACATCCTCAGTTATCTGAACCCTTAATTACCCAAATGGCAACTTTGTTTTACTAATGTATAACTGTCAGTATTGAATAACAGACTGTTCCCTTTTAAAGCTGTATTTAATACAGTACTGCATCTCAACTCTGAAGTCTGATGCAGTACTATAACTTGAAACTGGTATTGTATACTGTTCTTTTTTAAGCTTAAAATATATTGCCTCTGAAGTTGGGTGTGATTTTATATTATGCATCCTCTTAGCACATATACTTCCTCACTAAATGCTCCATTTTCACTTCTCCAGTGATTTCAGATATCCCAATGGCATCTTGGTGGGTGCTTTCCAAAGAGTTTTGGATAGGAGAGGCTGTACTGTAGTGGCATTGTCATGTTAGACCGATATTTGTGTGTATGTAAATGTTCTTGCACACATCTGTTGCAAAATGTTAAAACTGTCCCAACTGATTTTTTTTCTTTAATTTTACTGTGATTTTAAGCCCGAAGGCTTCATTGTCATCATCTAGTTTGCTATCTTGTAAAAGGCAGGTGACAGGACTTCCCTGAATAAATTCTTCTTTGAACAAGAACATGTATAAACTGTCAGTCTTAATTTTAAAGTGCTCCAGTGATGGAGAATCCACCACAGCCCTCGGCAAGTTGTTCCAGTGGTTAATTGTTTATTCTTGAAAATCTGCAACCTTATTCTTGTCCATTTTGTTTCACTGAACTTTAAGCCATTGAATCTTTTTTAAACTTTGTCTGCCATCTTAAAACGACCACTATCAACGTTTTGGTTCTCGTGTAGGTATTTATAGACTGTAACCAAAGCTATTCCTGAACTCTGTTGCAGAAACTGTGGAAAGGAGGGCACATACAAGTTGCCTGTTGAAAAATGAAAGCTCAAATTTAATTAAAAATGCATAGCTTGTATATCATATTTTTCGTTAGCAGATTTTGCCATTTTACAGCTGACACACAAAAGGGAAAGGGATTAGCTAGCAGCTACTGGTAGAGGGAGAAAAATAAACCAGGTCACCTGAATTCCTGTCTAGTGCCATCATCTAGTCATAAGCATAAGTGCTAAGCATAGAAGCTAGTTTATGATATAAATGTAATATTGATATTTAATAATGTGATATTTCTAATACTGAGTGTATATTCTGCAGTCAAGCTACAAATACATACGTATGTATACAGGTGGAGCGTTTGGGGCCAGAAAGCGTTCTCTAGTGCTTACAGTTGGGCTGGAATTCAGTGACACGGTATTCGGTTTCCATTACAACAGTATTTTAGTGATGCTCCAGGCCAGGATCTCTGTATCCTCCCTTCTTTGCCTCAGCCCTTGCCCACGGTTCCACTTCTTCCCTATAATCTCTGCATGCAGGAGGTTAAACTTCTGCCTCTGAGATAAGTGGCTAATTGAGATACCTCTGCCTGCAGTACCAAGCAGTTTGAGGGCCCTGATTTTCTTCTGAATGAGGCTTTTTTCAAGTACTCTGTCTTGCACCAGAATCAATGAGATTGTATCTGCTGATGCCTAGAAGATGCCTTGCCATTGTAGAATTCATCAGGTGCGTTCCACAGTTGCTGTGAGTTTAGACAGTCTGAGAAGAGTACCTGTTTAAAGAGCATAGAGGCTTGCTTTGCCTAGCCATTCAACATCAATGTGCTCTTGGACATCTGGTCTCAGGTGAGTGCCAAACGGCCAAAACATTTGCACATATGGCACCAATCGGCCTCATTGTTGTCAGATACAGTTTAAATGTTAAGGCAAGGCTTACTTAGTATCTCATCTTCTACGGGTGGGTTGCTCCAAGTCAAGAGCAATTGCCAGTAGAGCAGTATGAGGATGCTTGTAACACTGGTGCTCATCCTGTGCCTGGGTTGCAGATAAATGATAGTATCTTTTTAGTAGCCACTAATATTACACTTTTGAACGTAGAGAGGTCATTTTGACCTATGTTAGGCACAGTTAACTACTGCCTGGCTCCTCTCCACTCTGTCACGAAAGTAGAGGAGCTTATGTTCTCCTATTGAATTACTCAGTAAAGGAAGGTCAGAATTCCTATATGAAACAATTATTGCTTAGTTTTTGAAATATCTTGTCTATTTCCATCCACTTTGGAATGGGCTTGGATGCAAAGCTTTGCTTGCCTCTTTAAAGGGTTGGAAATGAAACTTCTTTTCCAGGCTGGGACAGCACTTCTGGCTTAAATTCAGTTTGCCCAGAGGCGTTTTCTGGCTTGCAGGTGGTGAGACAGACGGTGCCAGTAGAAAACATTTTACTTCCAGAGTTCTGGGAGATGAGCCTAAATTTCACTTGCCTTAAGGGGTATTCACAGATCACACATCATGCATGTCTCACACAAAAAATGCATGCATTGTTATTTGAAGGCTAGCTAAATAATCCAGCCTCCTCGTTTCTTATGACAGGCCTAGGTACCACCCACAAAGGCAATTTAACATGCTTCTTCTTTCATGTCTTTTTTCTGTCTTTGCAAGAGCTACTATTGTTTTTGGCAGCATTGCTTTGGAAACCGCTCTGCAATCTCAAAGTGCTGCTCAACCACTGAAGAGTCAAACTTTGCAGTACAGTTTAGTTGTGTTCGGTGCTGAGCAGGCACACAGATGTTTCTTTGCCTATATGAATGGATGGGACAGGCAAAGAATGTGCTGTGTAAGAAGATGAAAAGAACAAATAGTGAATCCAAAGTCTCTGCCATAACAGGTTTGCCATTGGGCAGTTAGAGGAACATGCAAAAGGGGCCAGCCAATAGAATTCTCCATTGACAACTACTGAGAGAGAAAACGCTGGGGATCAGCTACATACAGCAATGAGAAGAGTGCCCTGGATAGAATAAGATGGCAGAGTCTCATTCAGATTCAGATACTGGTAGCAGAGTCCTAATCCCTGCCTTAGACAGCAAATTCTGTATTCTTCTTTTGTAGTAGGAATAAATGACAAGCCTCTTCACTGTCTCTTGCTTTGTATCAGTGTGGCCTTACTATTGTCACTGTTTAATTGGTTTTTATTGTTTTTGTTGCTTTGTGCTATTAAACGGTATCAATAAAAGAACAAGACAAAAATCATACATGGTTTACAGTTTTACAGTGGGTAAATGGTGTTAACCTACCACTGCTTAATTTGGGGAGACTGCCTCTGTGCATGGGAACTATTCAAAGCTTGGGGAGAGGACAGCCTGAAACTGTCAGAAATGATGGTTTTGTAGCTGATTCGTGTAAGTAGGACTTCTGCAAGATCTGGCCTCAATTTCTGTCTCTGCCCCAGGCTTCTGTGTGTCCTTGAAGAAGTCACTTAATTCTTCTATACCTGCCTCTCAAGTGAAGATAAAAATCTTACCTGAGCCACAGGTGGTAAGGAGTGTGGTGATAAACATTGCTGGCTGAAAGAAGTCTTAGTAAAAGACCCCGAGGCTCTTTTACCTTTTTATTTCACATCAGGAAAATAAAAATCGGAAACTCTCTTTTGACAATGTTCTGTGAAAAATGAACCAACCCTCAGACCTTCCCCCATCACAGGATTTCCCAAACCCTAGCAGTTAGGATGCTTTCCTGGGATGTGGAAGACCCTGGGATTAGTATGGGCTGAAGATATATCTCTATGTTGTACTCCTCTCAGAAACGAAAGCTTAGCCCTGATAGATCTTTCTGAGGAAAGTCGAGTCAGAATTGATACCAGTGCGCTTCCACAAAAAAATGTATATGAATTGACATGGTTGGTCTGGCAGGGGTTGTTCCCTAGAAAAATTCCCCGCTAACTGTAATAAATGTTTGAAAGTAAAAAAAATAAATAATCCATTACCCATGGACGGGTGCTATCCCTACTCCAGAGGTGTGACTCAAATGAGCCCTATGTAGGAGTTGGTGGTACCTGCCTTTACTGACCTCTACCAAACAGGCTGTAACCTCTTCAGCTGGAGGGAGGAAGATGCCTTGACATTCTGCAGATTTCTTCGGGGACTGGCATCAGGCGTGGCAAACCCCGGCTCCAGTCCTTGATTTGTCTGATTCAGAAGAAAATTTGGGATGAAAATCTGTCTGTGCTGACCCCCAAGTTTTGCTCACATTTCAGCAGAATTTGGTTTTGTGAAAATATCTGAAAGGATCTGATTTTCATTCCATTTTGAATCTCAAAAGTGGTCTTAAAATTAAGAGGCCATCTTCTGGAGAGTTGTAGTTCCTCTTTCCTGGTGGCAAGTCACCACAAACTGCCACTTCCATTAACAAGGCTGAAAGTTTTGTGTTCAGGGAGAACAGAGTTACGTGTCTCTGTGCTCTGTTGTAGCCAGTTGTGTCTGGAGCCTGCATCTGTGTCCTGGAAGTAATTTTGGCCTGTCATAGAATAGTTTTTGAAAATCTCTGGGATGGTGAAGTAGTCTTTGGACTCCATTCAAAGGTACAAGTGATGTGCTCTTAGTTCT